TTTCAGTTTTTTTCTTAATTGTTGCCCTGGGATTTACAATCAACTGAACTTTACAACAATCTAGTCTAAATTAATGACAGTTTAGCTGAAATAGCATACAAATATTCTGTACCTCTATAGCTTTTTAAAATTCTGTTTGTTTCTCTTCATTCATTCTCTTGAGGCTGGCTAATCTCAGTTGACCTGTCTTCAGATTCACTGATTCTTCTTTTCTGCGTGTCTGCTGTTGACCCTGTCTAGTGAATTTTTCAACTCTAGAATTTGCATATAACTAATTTTTGTAGTTTTTATTTCTTTACTGATTTTGTTTATTTTTTGCACTGATACTCCCTATTCCTAATTTTCTTCCTTTCTTAGCCTATGGTTTCCTTTAGCACTTTGAGTATATTTAAGACAGTTGATTTAGTTACTTTGTCTCTAGATTAGTAAGTGGATTTTCTCCTGTATATGGACTATCTTATTTCTTAGAATGCTTCCTAAAATTATATAAAAAGCTGGACATAAATATTATAGTGTAGCAACTCTGTAAATGAGATTTTACTTCTCTTGTGGGAGACTTATAGTTGCTATTTATTGTGGGTGGTGGTTGTTTGTGTAGTGACTTTTCTTAACTATGTTTTAAAGTCTGCATTTTCTTTTTTGCTTTTAAAGTTCATTTATTTTCTGAATAAGCAAGAGAGACAGAGAAAAAGAAAGAGAGGCAAGCACCTCCAACAGGGTCTCAGCACCTGGATCCACCCTGAGCCTTCAGCCATTCCTAGATTATGGATAAGTAGGTGTCCAGTACACTCAAGGAGATCTCTAGACTTGAACTGGGAAACTTCCCAGGTAGGATTGCCTTTCAGAGTATTATGTTTACCACCATACTACTGTCTGGTTTTTGCATTTTTCTTTCTTGTTTTATCCTGGAACTCCTTTAACTTACCCTTTTACTTAGTGGTCAGAAAGTGCTTTGATACAATTTCCTCAAGAAAGAAAAGGAAAGAACAGGGAAAAAAAAAAAAACAACCCTTCCCCCAAATTACTCTACCAGTTTGCAGATTCTCTCTGTGCTGGAGCAGTCCTTTAACACTTAGCCAGGCTGTTTACAGCCCTGTCTTAACTTCTACTTTCTGCTTGTGTGGAGGGTAAACATCAGCCAGAGAAGAAAGCAAAGGATATTCTCAAGCCTTTTCTCAGTATGCTGGGTATGTTTATTATCTCCTTGATTCCCTGTACACAAGGGGGCTTTAAGAACTTTTTTTTTTTGTTCTTTGTATCTCCTCTCCCACCTGTCCTTCCCATGTTTGTTGTTCTGTGTGTCATCTGCCCTAACCTTTCCTTGCTGTAGGCTGCTAGGACCCATACTTGTTTCTTTAAATGCTTTTGCAAACACTGCCCAGGGAGCTACCCTGGCCCTGGGGGAATGCTCCCAACTTTGTGAAAGAAAGGCACACCCTTGCTCTTGTCCTTTAGGAACTGCAATACAAGTCGAAACTGACAGCCACAGCATTTTGAGAATAAAATCTATATTGCTCTCCCTAGCAGTACCAGCCTATACCAGTGGTGTGAGACCACCAGTCTAGGGTGCAATGGGTGGTAGATGTCACAGTGTTTTAATGCTTTATGTCCTCCAGTCTGTCAGTCTCTACCATAGAGTGTGGACAATTGGTATATGTTAAGTGGAGACATGCAATGTTTCTCGTTCATAGCCTGACTTGCTTCACTTAGCAACAAATCTTCCATATTTGTCCACTTTCTATCAAATTCCAGGAGTTTGTTGTATTTTATGGCTGAATAGTATTCCATGGAATATATGTGCCTCACTTTTTTTTTATTGTTTCTGATTGAAATTTTTTTCTTTTTTATTAATTTATTTTCTTTTTTTAACATTAATATGCTATACATCATTACAGTATACAAAATGAATTTTTCATCCAAAATACACTGTCTGTTGGCTTAATCAACATACGTGTTATCAACAAGCAATTTTTCATTTCTTATGGCTTGTATATTTTTCTTTTTTTTTTTTTTTTGGCCATCCTTGATTCCCTATCCCTAACCTTCTGCCCTGTCCAACCCTCTCATCAAATAGGTATTTCTAATGCCTTTTTTTTTTTTCTTCTGAAAATTTTTTTTTTTTATTAATTTACATTCATTCCCTGAGCATCATCACAACATTCTAAATGTGGTTTCCCATCTAGAATATACTATATAGTGGCTTAATAATGCATGTTATCATCCATAATATTCCATTTCTACTTTCATATATATGTTTTTTTACCCCATGTCTAGCCCTCTGCCCTATTCCACTCTCTTATTACACTATCTCTGCTGTCTACAGTTGTCTTCAATCCCTTTTCCCCCAACATTTCGTTGGTCACACAATATCATAAGTAATCTAACTACTTTCAATAGCAAGATCAGCCGATGGTTTCAAGAAAAGCAGTTTTGAACTGGTAAGGATATTTCTTTGAAACTTAAAGCCTAGAAACAGGTTAGTATTCTGTTCAAATAGTCGGAACATGAATCTATTGATAGCTGAAGACAGGACAAAAGTCCTTAAAACCAGACAACAAAGCTTAGAAGAAAAGCAGCAATATTTTAGTCAAGTCGTAGAATACTGTTTCATCAGTTCAGTCTCATGTACTTAATCTTTCTTCTGTATCTGTTGAGGTTCGATGTTCCAGATTGAAATCTGGGATGTAATACTCAACTCCAGCTTTTGGCCCTACAATTAAGTTGCCCATTTTCTTAGTTTCTGAACTCTTATTTCTGTGTGTCTGCATTTAATTTTACTGACATAGCACTCCCTTAAGAACTTCTTGGAGATCCGGTCTGGTGCTGGTAAATTCTTTCAGGTTTTGTTTATCTGGGAAAGTTCGTGTCTTTTCTTCCCAAATGAACGATAACCTTGCTGGGTACAGAATTCTCGGTTGAAATTGCTTTTCCCTTAATACTTTGAATACATTTTCCCATTCTCTCCTCGCTCTCATTGTTTCCGATGAGAGGTCTGCCGTTAGTCTGATGGGATACCCTTTGTAGGTAACTTGCCTTTTTTCTCTTGCCAGTCTTAGTATCTTGTCTTTGTCTGTGGTTTTGGTCAATCTGGCTATAATGTGTCTTGGAGAAGATCTTCTTGGGTTGATTCTATTTGGGGTCCTCTGTATTTCTTGGGACTGAATCTTTGAGTGCCTCTCCAGGTTTGGAAAATTTTCTTGTAAGATTTCATGGAATAGATTATCAATGCCCTTATGAGTCTCTTCACCTTCTGGGATGCCTATTATCCGGATGTTTGGACGTTTGATGGTATCTAGTACTTCTCGCATATTATTCTCAAATTTTTGGGCCATTTTCTCAGTCTTCGCGGTGGATTTTTCTAGGCCAACCATTTTCTCTTCTACATTAGAGATTCTATTTTCTGTATGATCTAGTCTGCTTTTAATACTTTCAAGGGAAATTTTGACTTCTTGTATTATAGCCTTCATCTCTAACAGTTCCATCTGATTCTTTTGTAAAGTGTGAAATTCCTCTTTTAGATCTTGCATGAATTTCCTCACCTCCTGGAACTCAACAACTTCTTTCTCCTTCCTCTTCAGCAGTTCATTGTCTCTCTTCTCTTCCATCTCTGTTAGTTTTGCCATTATGAATGTTCTGAATTCTTTATCAGACATTTCCATGAATTCCCGTCAACTGTGTGTGGATGAAGAGGAGTTATCCTTTTCCCTTGGAGGAGAGGTATTTTCCTGCTTTCACATATTTCTTGTGATCCTGCAGTGATTTCTAGTCATCTGGTTGATGGTCAGTTTCTTCCCAAACTTAGAAGTTCAATCATCATGGACACCGTGTCCGGCAGAGCATGTTCAGCACAGCAGCAGTTTCTCCCCAGCGATCACGTGGAAGGAACTGAGCGCCACAGGCGGAGAGAGAATCTCGATACCTGTTTTTTCTTTGATTCCTTCTGATGTAGTCTTTTTTCCCTCAACTACTTTTTTATTGGTTTTCTTAAGTTTTATCACTTTATTTCTGTGTTTTTTTTTTATGACCTTGATATTTAGTCTTAATTGAAATAGTAGGTTCCATTTATGTTTGTATGTCTTTTATGTGATTTTTCTTGTTCTGTTTCTTCCCCTGTCTCCCCACTCCTACCCCCCATACTTATAACTGTATAGGATTGGTTTTGACACTTTCATGTTTCCTTTTTTTTTTTTTTTTGAGAGGTTTTTTGCTATAGGGCGCGTGTGCTCGCCAAACAGACAGAGAGAGACATAGAGACAGAAAGCTTATGTTAAAATAAGCCAATGTTGCTTATTTTATGGTATAGTTTTTATGAAATTTTAGAAGAAGGCTGTGTTCAGGATTACTTTTCTGTCTTGTGTTGTATTTTTATAGTTTGCCAAAATATGGTGACTTATTTGTCATGTAGATGCCTCCTGCTCTGCTCCCTTGACCCTTCCCTGTGCATTCCATATGCCTTTGCTTTGTTTCTTACCTGCACTGCAGGTCGATTGCACCCAGAGAACTTTCTCCTCAGCCACGTCCCAGACAGGAAGGGAGTCCTGCCTGATGTATATCCTGTGGCTCAGGCTGTTCCCATCTAAGTGGATGCGTATGCATCCACTTAGACTGTGGTTTTTGCCCTTACCGGATTCCAGGTGCTATTCTCTGATTCTTTACCTGTTTGCTTTTGATGAGAACTAAGTCCAGGTTCTCAGGCCTCCTGTACCCTTGCTGCCTCGGGCTCATTTCTTTTAGGTACTGATAATGGGCAGAACTTTGGAGGGTTGCTGGTTTGCTCACTTACAATGTCTACTTGTAATGTGGCATTTATTGATTAGTTGTCAGTGTTGTCTATGTGTTTTCAGTTTTGCTATTTAGTTGCTTTACCTTTATGTAAATATTCAGAGACATTCAAAAACCATGCCTTTACTGTTTCCAGATTATAAATTGTTAATCTATTGTATATTTATGAAGTTTATTTTTTTGTTTTGTTTTCTTTAAAAAATAATCTCTACAGAGAAAAAAACATTGGGACTTAGAAGACCCATCCTTCCCAGGAGAGGGGCCTCTGCAATTCATGAAAGCAGGCTGCAGGACAGCAGGGACAGTGGCCTCTCTCACTGAAGCATGGCTCAGGTGTGGAGAAGGATTTCAGGACACTTCTGTGACTCCGGTAAGGTAGTTGTAAGATTGTTTCCCCTGAACACTAAAGAGTAAATCTTGAATTCCTTAATGTTTAAGTCATTGTAATTATATTTTTTTGGAGTTCCTTGATTTCCTTTCTTTCCTTTCAGGACATTTACTTTTTTTTTTTTTAATTCCCTGAATTCTTTTAACTTTTGCATCAAGTTAGTTTTCAGCTTTTTATATCAGATAGAGTCTTTCTTCTTATAAGTCAAGGATATACACTGAAAATATTCTCAGACAGTAGAACCATTGAGCATACTACTTTTCACAAGAAGTGTATACAGAGTCTTCAAAAGGTTCATGGGAAATGCATATTATGAAGAACTATGTAAGAAATTCAGATTTTTGCACTACATTAAATTCGTGCACTAATTCCGTTTTTCTGCAAACTTTTCGAAGTCCTTTATATTGGGACCAGCAGTTGGCATAATGGCTATGTTGCTGGACCCCCATGTAGTCGACCATGGTTCGAGTCCCAGACCTGATAGCTTAAACTCACGCTGGGTGCGTGTGCATGCATGTCCAAGATCCCAAGAGGAGAATGGAGAAGGGATTGCAGCGGGACTGTCCCCTTGGGGGATATTTCTCACTTTCTGTCTCTCTCTTCTTTCTGGCTAGCGTATGCACCCTATAGCAAAAACCTCTCAAAAAAGAAAGAAATGTCCTTTATATTTATTGAAATAATTATATGTTCAGAATCTTCAGGCAATGAGATATTGTGATTAATTTTTACATGTTTCCTAATTTACAGTATATAAGGAATGCTATTACAGATTCTCAAGTCATTATATAGAATAAGAATAGGTTGGTGCAAATGTAATTGTAGTTATGGACTGTAAATTGCGAATCATTAAAATTAGGCCCAAACATATATTTATTAATCAAAATAGGAACTATTACAATTAACACATTTTAGCAAGAAATAGGTTAGTTTATTCCTATAGTGTAAAAATTTGTGCTTCGGGATTTGACAAACTCTTAGAAAGTATCTTCTGTGTCCTGCTGGTTGTGGAAGCATTATCTGAGTAAAAAGTTGTTGAAATGCTTGAGGAGGTGATAGTTGGTTGTCAAGAGGTCAGGTAAATAGTGGATAAAGCCAAACTGTGTAGCCTAATTTGTTTAACTTTTTTTCTTTTTTTTTTTTTTTGAGAGATTTTCACTGTAGGGCGCGTGCGCTCGCCAGACAGACAGAGAGAGACATAGAGACAGAAAGCGAGAAATCACCCCCCAGGGGGGATGGTCACGCCGCAATCCCTTCTCCTCCATTCTCCTCTTGGGATCTTGGGCACGCACGCACACGCGCCCGGCGTGAGTTTTAAGCCACCGGGTCCGGGACACGAACCGCGGTCGACTACGTGGGAGTCCAGCGACATAGCCATTACGCTAACTGCTGGTTCCCAATTTGTTTAACTTTTGAAGCATTGTTGTGTGATGTGCAGTTGGGCATTGTCTCAGAGGAGAACTGGGCCCTTTTTGCTGACCAATGCTGGATGCAGGTGTTTTGGGTTTTGGTGCATCTCATTAATTTGTTGAGCATACTTCTCACGTGTAATGATTTTGCTGGGATTTGGAAAACTGTAGTGGATCAGATCTCACCAAACAGTGACCATGGCTTTTTTTTTGGTGCTAGTTTGACTTTGGGAAGTGTTTTGGAATGTTTCAGTCCAACCACTGACCTGGTCATAACCAGCTGTCACGTAAAATCCACTTTTTGTCTCATATCACAATATGCTCAAGAATGGTTTGTCATGTAGAATAAGAGAAGATAGCACTTCAGATCAATGATTCTTATGATTTTCTGTCAGCTAATGAGGCACCAACTTACTAGGCTTTTTCTTTTTCTTTTTATACCATAAAAATGGTATGCTCCAGAGAAAGAGAGAGACAGAAAGGGGAAGTGAGAAATCACTCCTACTCCTGAGGGATGGCCACAACACAATCGCTTCTTCATTCTCCTCTTAGCATTTTGAGTATGCATGCACATGCACATGATATAATTTTCAAGCTGCTGGATCCAGGGCCTGAACTGTGGTAGGCCATGTGGGAATCTAGTGTCTTAATCACTACAGCACCTACTGGCCCCTTATCAATCATTTTCACTTTTCCTCTTTGCTTCAAGTGCTGAATGACCATAGAATGATCAATATTGAGTTTTCTGACAACTTTAGTTTTAAGAGGATCAGCTTCAATGATTGCTTTCAATTAGTTGTTGTCAATATCCGATGGCTGGCCACTAAGCTTATCTTCAAGAACCTTGTCTCCTTTGCAAAATTTCATGAACCCCCACTGCATTGTACATTTGTTAGCAGTTCCTGAGCCAACTGTGTTGTTGATATTGTGAGTTGTCTCTCTGCTTTTTGACCCATTTTGAACTTGAATGAAGAAGTGGCTCAAATATGCTTTATGTCTAACATTATTCCCATCGTCTAAAATAAATATAAATAGCAAGTACTAAGTCATTAGCAAAAAAAGTAAGTTGAGAAATGTGCATTAAAATGACATATGACATGACCACATTTATTTAAGAATGTATCCAATATCAAACAATGCAAAAAATACAATTACTTTTGCACCAACCTAATAATTTGGGCATAGTAGAATGAGAATCTCATAGGTGGTCAGAGTCATATAGAGACAATTACAACATTTAATGTTGATGTAAAATGTTGTGATCCTTTAGCTCTCTGTTTAGATTCTAGAAAAATATAAAAATTAGTTTATACATATAAAAGGATTGCTTCTGAACTGCTTAAGTTGGTGGGTATATGGAATACAGAAATATGTTGAAGATGTAGTTTAGGAGTTTGAGTATTTTATAAAATATCATTGGTTTTAGGGCCTTGTCATATAAATTACATTATTTATTATTATTATTTTGCCTGTAGTCATTAATTGCTGAAGAGGGGACTGTTTCAGGAAAACATCTTGGAGAATCCCCTGGGCCTAAAACAGGTAATAATGTTAATTTCTTGACAGAAAAGATATAAGACTAATATTCTTTTTAATTGCTTACATAGTTTGGGTAAACTACATAGTCATGGTTTTAAAATATCACAAAAATGAAAAAAGGTATTTTTGAGAGTTATATCTCTACCCCATTTTTCCTGTCCTCCAACAGGTAATTATCATTTTGGGGATTCACTTTTATCACAGAGCCAAGTGGGTTACCTTAGGCTCATAGCTCCACGGTTTTAAAAAAAATGTGATTTGGGAATAAACTTATGTTTTATGTTATTAGAACTGTTTGGCTTCCGACTATGAAATTCTTACTTAGTGAATTCGCTTTTCATTAGAAGGTTTTCAAGCTACAAATAATAGGAAACTGTTCCAATATAGGGATGTTGAAACAAGTGAGGTTGAATTTAAAATAAATTTTTTATATACATTCAATCACATTGTTTAGCTTACAATGTGAACAATTCAATATGTGAACATTTTTCCCCAGTCCAGTTGATCAAAATATCTTCAACTGATAACACCACACCTCCCCATCCCGTCAATGCTCTGCCTCTGTATCCCTCCTCCAAATGTCCTTCCTTAGGCCCCACTCCTCCACACACACCACATCTGGAATTCACACCCATCTCTTGTGTTTGTACAGCCTGTAGTCAATCAGTTTCAGTCATAGAGTGCAGACACTCGGTATATATTAGGTGGAGACAGACAATGTCTCTCCTTCATAACCTCGCTTGCTTCACTCAGCAGTAGCTCTTCTATATTCTTACACTTTCTGTCAAAAGCCAGGGTTTTGTTGGTTTTTATGGCTGAATAGTATTCCATAGAGTATATGTGCCACAGTTTTTCAATCCATTCATCCGTACAGGGGCATTTGGGTTGGTTCCATGTCTTAGCAATTGTGAATGGTGCCACAATAAACATTGATATGCAAGCACTTTTCCAATAAAAAATTCTTCTGTCCTTTGAGTAGATACTGAGGAGCGGGATTGCAGGATCATATGGTAGTTCTATTTGTAGATCTTTTTTTTTTTTTTTTTTTTGAGAGTTTTTCTCTT